ATCCAAACACGGAAACCATAAAGTAATTGTTTTATAAAATAACAACAACACACGATAATCTTCCGTGTTTGGATGGCCTGATCCAAACACGGGTTTCGACCAATCAGAACACGCGTTATATACATGTTATTTTATAAAAGATATTTGCAGATGGCGAGGATATCTCAAGAAACCATCATCACACGTCTGCGATTACCTTTAGTTGTTGTAATCATTGTTGCTGTTATTGTTGTCGTCGTTGTTGTTCTTATTATCAGGGTTTGTTGCTGTTGTTGTGTTGTCGTCGTTATTGTTGTTGTTGTTGCCGTTATCGCGCTTGTTGCTGTTGTTATTTTTGTTATTATTGAGTTTTCGTTGCTGATGTTGTTGTTATTGTCGTTCTCGCTGTTCAAGTCGTTGTTGTTTCTGCTTATTGTTTGGCTATTGTTGTTTAGTTTGCAGTTTACGTAACAATTGGCAAGATCTTTATTGTGATGGTACAAGCTAGTAATCAATGATGGTATTATAGTGAGTCATCCTACCTTTACTGCTGTCATATGTAGCTGCAACATGTGCCCACTGACCAGCAACAACTGCACGCTCAGATGTAATCTCAAACAAATTCTCGTCCTGTTCATTTTTATGACACCAAGTAATCTTGCCTGATTTTGACGCCAAATAATAATTGGACTTATAGGAACCTTGCCGAGATGTAGTGAATAAAGTCTGCTCGCCTTCCACAGTTGAAAACTTTACCCACAAAGCAACGGTAACTGCTTGAGTTGGTTTAGGGTGGAAGCGACTACCATCTACGGTAATTGACCCTCTGATAAACGACCCCGCTAATCCACAGCCATTCTGTACCCCTACGACATTGACCCCAGCGGACATCTGTCCCCGGTTACTGTGACCTGATACGTCTGTTATAAAGGGGAATTTGTGGTTGTCAAAAGTGTAGTATAATGCAAGGTAGTCCCAATCTGGGAGTGGGGAAGATGAAGGAGGCGGGACTGCGGGAGGTTGTGATGTAGGGGGAGGGGTAAGGCGTGTTTCAGGGGGGTTTGGTGGCGATGGTGGCGTGGGGGTAAGATTTGGTGGTTTTGTTGGGGACGGAGATGTGGGTTGAGGCAAAGCTGGAGGGCTAGGCGTGGCTGGAATCCCAGGTGGGGCTGGAGTCCCAGGGGGAGTTGGAGGTTGAGGCAAGGCTGGAGGGCTAGGTGGGGCTGGAGTCGGTGGGGGAGCTGGAGGTTGAGGCAAGGCTGGAGGGCTAGGCGTGGCTGGAATCCCAGGGGGAGCTGGAGGTTGAGGCAAGCCTGGAGGTCTAGGTGGGGCTGGAGTCGCTGGAGGTTGAGGCAAGCCTGGAGGGCTAGGTGGGGCTGGAGTCCCAGGGGGAGCTGGAGGTTGAGGCGTGGCTGGCGGGCTAGGCGTGGCTGGAGTCCCGGGTGGGGCTGGTCTTGGAGCCGGGGGTTGCGGTAAGGCTGGCGGGCGAGGGGGGCTTTTAGCTGGAGCAGGTATTGGGGAAGGTAGTTGGGATGGAGGTCGAGGTGTGGGTTGTTGAGATTGTTTTGGTTGATTTGTTGGCTTCAGAGGTTCACATCCATTGGCGTTTTCTGGAATACCTAGAGAAAATTACAAAAGTAACATTTGACAAAACAATCTATAAATATCTTTACATATTTTTCTCTCAATGTCATTATAAGTATTATTTACCTGTCAGCATTAACGAATCAGGGAAGACGTCTTTGCCAGCCAAAGTTTTCTCATCATCTAAATGATCTTGTATAGGTTTCAGTGGATGATCAACAGCCTTAGCAAAGTGTAGGGTGAAGTAAACGATCACAGAGCTCACGGCTTTTGGATCGTAAGGATAACAACCAGGCCTGGAAATAAATGGTGAACTAGACTCAGTTCTAGCAAACGGTATACGGTCTTTACGTACAGTCCTAAATTGTTCATCCTAGAGGTCCAGTAAGGATTATCTCTTATTGATCCAGTGTTACTACAGGAGGAAACATAAACTAAACTAACTTTATTTATACTGGATAGCTCTATCAGTTATAAACTGTTCTCCCTAGAGGTCCATCAAGGATCATCTCTTATTGATCCAGTGTTACTACCAGAGGAAACATAAACCAAACTAACTTTATTTATACTGGATAGCTTTATCAGTTCTAAACTGTTCTTCCTAGAGGTCCAGTAAGGATCATCTCTTATTGATCCAGTGTTACTACAGGAGGAAACCTAAACTAAACCAACTTTATTTATACTGGATAGCTCTATCAGTTCTAAACTGTTCTTCCTAGAGGTCCAGTAAGTATTACTACAAGAGGAAACCTAAACTAAACTAACTTTATTTATACTAGATAGCTCTATCAGTTCTAAACTGTTCAGCAAGGACCATCTCTTATTACTGTATAAAATACATACTCGAAACCATTAACATTCACGCGATCAAAATCTTTTCCGACTGAATAAATTTTGGTAATCTGAAATGAAGACAAATAGTTGAGATTCCTAGAGCAGTTTCAAGGCTGATATTTTGAACAAACGATGGATTTCTTTTATAGTAACATAAAGTTTCAATTATTACCGCCTTTTTTAGTGATTTTGCAAATCGCTGAAAGTTCCGATTATAACTGTTTGACAACTCGTTAGACCAAACTTGCTTTATAACCAAGGAAGCACAAATGTCCTTAGCTAAAAAATAGATCGTTTCAAAATAAAAATGTATTAGGGTGAGTTGAATGAGAGTAATGTGTTGAAAAACGAGAGCTAACCGAGTTTTTCCACATACTTTGAGGTGTTTTATACGCCGGTTATAAACAGCTTTCAATTTTCAATTCTCAAACGGACTTGTACTTAAAGAGGGGTTTATTATCGTGGTACCAAGACAACGGTGCTGGTTTCTATTGTGCTTTGTTCATGAATTAGTAATGATTTTGAGAAATATGTAAAACCACGAACCTTTTGGAACAGACGGCCGTTTCACACCGCAGCCTTGAAAGTTTGGTCCCATGGCAACGCTCACGCCATCAGGACAGCAACCACATACTACTTCAAAACAGGGAACTTTCCGATTCCCCTGTTTCGCGGCGTTGTTTTGAAGTGCGATTTTCTTTCCGGGACTCTTTGCTTTGTTACGAAGTTTTTGAGGACAGCCAGCCTTGGTTGGGTCAGGCGATGGTGTTTGTCCGTCTGCACAACAACCGTATTGACCACAGTGAGAATCAAACGACGACAAAACTTTGGAAAGAACTAAAAAATACCAATGTATTTTTTCTGTGTTGGTGTAATGTACTCAGGTGAATATGATGCTTTGTGATGTTACTCTGAGTGTATATCCACACTGGGCAAGCTTGAAAAATATGCCCGACCACGGTGGGGATCGAACCTTTGATAGGTTCGCTTCCCACCGTGGCTAAGCATATTTTTCAAGCTTGCCCGGTGTGGATATACACTCAGAGTAACATCACAAAGCATAATACCAATGTATGTTTATGAACTTGATAGTTATCTCTCCCAAATTGCTCTTCCTATAAGCACAGAAGGACCATCTCTTGTTGGTCCAGTGTTACTACACGAGGAAACGGGGTACACAATAAAACTTGCCGTGTTTTGTAGAGTCAAACTAGAAACATTCTTCTCACGTGAGTCAGAGGAGAAATTATAATCAGACAACAATAGTTGCATATTTCGCAAGTGTTCCAGGTTAGGTCTAAGAAATGTATAAAAAATACCACTTGAAATACCACGACAAATCTCTTCAATGAGACAACTGCATATTGCAGGAATCAAAGCCAGAGATGAAAGACACTAACCACTGTGTCTAATCATAATAAAGAGATATGAACAAGCTTTCGTAGGGTAGGACTGCAACTACCTGAAATATATAAGGAGAATTTCGAGACTCTTCGTCTGGAGTTATTGAAGGGCCATCGCCCGAAACGTCGAAATTCTCCTTATATATTTCAGGTAGTTGCAGTCCTAGCAACGAAAGCTTGTTCATATTTTGACACCACCTACACTGGCACAAATAGTTGATAATAAAGAGAGTCTACCTTTCTCACAGTCGGGTTTCTTTCCACCCTGAATACTACTTCGAGATATTTCTCGACCATTATCATCCACACACCAGCATCGTGTGCCGTAGTTCGCATGAGCAAAGCATTGCACAGGTGCATAACTACCATCAGGCTGACATTCTGGGGAGAACATATCTTTTTGATTCTTCGAAATCTTCTTTTCCGCTTCGCATTGAGAAAGTTTGGCTGAAAGAGAAAGAGAATCTTCAACGATCTCACCCAATGCAGGTCATTGCAGTCATCAGAGGCAGGACATAATATTAATTCTCTCTACATTATATGTAGCACACACGTGATAATCTCACAACTTGTCAACAAGATGTGTTCGCAAAAGGCTTGTAGCAAACTTGTCAACAAGTTGTAACAATGCTGTTATTTTATCAAGTTGCTACAAGGTTGTCACTCGCAACTTGTTGACAAATTGTTGAATTGCAGGACGATAACAAGTTGTTGGAACAACTTTTAACAAGTCTGTTGAGCTCGACAACCTTGCAGCAAGTTATCAACAAGCCGTTGAGAACTTGTCAACAAGTTGGGAACAAGCAGTGCGAACATATCCTGTTGACAAGTCATTGGAACAGCATTGCTACAAGTCTGCTGCAGGTTTGTTACAACTTGTGCGTTTTTACGTACATGTATGTACAAAAATACCTTTGGCGTGTGTTTCCACTTTGTATTTCCTGGCTCCTTTTCCTGGCTTCTTTGTTGAGGAGGCGGTCTTGACCTTTAAGAATTTTACCTCAGAAGAAATTTGTTTTTTTGGAGCTAAAAAAAAGATTATAGCATTGTCGTTGGTGAGTTGTATGCTTGAATCTTGATTTACACAGTACAACTCAAGTTGTAAGCAGGTTGCATGCGACAGTTTTGGGTAAAAGTTGTGTAGCGAATCGGCCTTGGAAGTCTAGAGAAAGCTCAGAATGCCTTGAACGACATCTTACCTTTTTCACAAGTGGGTGTACTGCCATCTGTAGTTCTCGTATCCCCAATCTCCTCGCCCTGGCCATCCACACACCAACACTGTTTACCAAAACCCATGTGTTCAAAACACTGAACTGGGGCGTAGCTACCATCTTCCTGGCAAACTGGTACGAAACTGTCATCCATGCTTACCGCCATTTTACGTTCGATGTAACAAGCTGTTTCTGAAAGGGAAGGAGAAAAAATTGAGCCTGACTTCCTAAATTTTGTGCCTAGAAGTTCATTGATAATATGATAAATTGTATTCATTATCATGTATTCATTATAATTGGTGGGTTTCAGTAAGATTGAAAACTAACTTTTCCGTTCGTCTTGTGAGGTCGTATCGTGAAAGCCAACAGCCTCGGCGGAGATTGCTTTATTAATGGTCAACGAAGGTTCGTCTATTGATGTGAGAGGCACTTGTAGGGGTTTGGGTGGATAATATGAGTGAGTAGGAGGGGGTGGAGGCGGTGGGGGAGACGAGAGATTCGAAGCATCTATGTTTTCATTGCTTGCGGATGGATTGTTTAAGTTTTCCGTCGGAGAAATCGGGTTTGAACTCTCAACTGATATCGACTTTTCACCTGGGAAAAAATATATCAAAGCAATGAAAAACCAATGTGATTTTCATCATTCTTACGATACGCAGATGTCTGTTTATAATTTCTCATCAATCACATGTGAGAAGAGTGCTTTCAGTTTGATTCTACCAAACACCACAGGTATTCTGGGTTCCTCCTGTAGTAACACTGGATCAATAAGAGATGATCTTTACTGGACCTCTAGGAAGAACAGTTTAGAACTGATAGAGCTATCCAGTATAAATAAAGTTAGTTTAGTTTAGATTTCCTCCTGTAGTTACACTGAATCAATAAGAGATAATCCTTACTGGACCTCTAGGGAGAACAGTTTAGAACTGATAGAGCTATCCAGTATAAATAAAGTTAGTTTAGTTTAGATTTCCTCCTGTAGTAACACTGGATCAATAAGAGATGACCCTTACTGGACCTCTAGGAAGAACAGTTTAGAACTGATAGAGCTATCCAGTATAAATATTGTTAGTTTAGTTCAGTTTCAAGACATACCTGCCAATTTCTTTTTTGGAGGATTTTTCTGTTCCTCACTCTTCACCTTGACCTCGATCACGTGAGCGTCAAATGGTTTATCTTCCAGTGTGGTAGACGCTGAACCATCATAACTGAACATATCACCATCTGTGGTAACACCAGCCTTGGTACCATTAACCAGATGCTCATTTGAATCTTTTAAAGCCACACCAGCCACTAAGCTTCCAACGAGTTTATTAGCATGAGCTGATTTGGATTTAGGTAGTTTGGTCAGGCTCCCCTTGACTAGATATAGAGTACCATTTATTTTTAGCACTGTACCATTCACAAGTGTAGAGTTTATTTTGATACCTTTGCTGTCAAGATGAAGGTGTTTTGATGGTAATTTAATCAGCACTGAGCCAGCTTTGATGTGATTACTTGAGGCTTCCAGAGACGGGATAGTAACGATAGTTTCTCCAGTTTTACTGTGTTCCAAAGGGGTCGCAGATATCGAGGGGTATTCTACCGATGTACTTAACACGGGGGTACTTATCTCTGGGGTACCTAAAACGGGGTTACTTTTTTCCGATACACTTTCCTGAGAGGTGGTTTGAGATGGGATAGTTTCCACATGTGTACTTTGTTCGGGGGTAATTTGCCCGGGTAGAGTTTCCGCCGTATGGGGAAAAGTTCCGAGGTTAATAGTATGTCCCTGTACTGGTTCCTCCAAAGGTTGATTGCTGGTTGTTTGGGCTGTACCTTGCTCTGAAGGTAGATGATTGGTTGAAGTTTGACTTGTTTCTTCCAGCGGTGGGGCGCTGGTGGCAAGGGGGAAAGCACTGATACTTTCCCCGGGAGAGCCAGGTACATTGTTCTGATTGTAGTCCGTGGGATTAATGTGAACGTGGGGGGCATCAAAAGAATCTGGGACTTCAGATCTAGGGTGGGGTGACACGATGTCAGACTCTTTTGAGACAGCGACGTCATCATGTTCTGTGTCTTCAACGAATTCTAGAAAAATAGAGAATGAAAATGACATTTTCGCTGAAAATAAATTGTAGTCCGAACACGGACCTATGCTTGACAGCCTTACAATTTTCGGGTGGGACAAGCCGATGTCATAATGCTACGGCGATTCAGGAAGCATTAGAGATGCTCAGGTTTGGCTTAACTACTAACCAATCAAATGTGTACAAAGCCAGACGTAGGGTATTGGAAGTCAAATGTGAACCTCTCAAATAAAACTATTTCAGCGACAAAATGACGACAAGCAAACAAGAAACCTAATCTAACGCATCTTTGCTCAATCTTACCAGAAGTTTTTATCTCTTCAGGTCCATCAAAGAGAACTACTTGATCACGCTTTTTATGTTTCTTTTTCTTTCCTTTGTATCCTGGTAATAAAAGAGAGGGTTAGTGCTAAGTTCAGCTCCTCGGACCAGACCTGATGTACGTTGTCGTAGTTGAGTTGTGGTGCTTGATTTACACAGTGCAACTCAAGTTGTAAGCAGGTTGCATGCGACAGTTTTAGGCAAAAGTTGTGTAGTGTAAATCGGTCAATAGACAACTGCAACTATCATTCACACCCATTGAACTATAAATAAACTGGAACGATAACTCAGGGGGGGAGGGGGGGATTGAAGCCAGTGCATTTTAGTTTTTCTGAGTGATGAGCAGAAATACTCAACACTGAACGTTGTGCTGTATATGAAACTGAAGCTACTGAAAAACGCCATTTGGTGTAGAAATTTCAAAACTACAAGGGAAATATTGAAAAACTACAAAAATAATTGCCAATAATTTGCCATTTGTTTTTGTATTTTTAAAATATTTTTCTTTTCGCTGAAGTCCTGAAATTTCCACACCGAATAGCAATTTTCAATAGCTTCAATTCGATATATAGCCCAACGTTTGGGATCAAGTATTTCTGCTCATAACTCAGAAAAACTATTTTGGCTTCATCAAATCACAGGCCTTCATCATAGCAGTTAGCCTTCCAGTTTATTTATAGTTCAATGCTCACTCCTCGTCCCCAGACCCACGCTGTCACTGACCTGTAGAATACACCGAATTCTTCCAGTCGCCGCCACAGTACTGGTCCCCAGGACTCTTACACTTGCTGTCACACATCTCATCAGGAAGTTTCCCAAACCTCCCGTAGTGGTCGCCACAGAAACACAGATATGAAAACTGTACGGCGCCATACTCGTATTCCTGATCACGACAACCGCTGACACAGTTGTTCACTGTCACATTATTATGATGTAATCTCTGTAAGAGGTCACGTGGTGAACCATCTTTGTAACATCCCAGATAATCTGAAATACCAAGAGAATTCATCAAATTACAAACGCGGTCATAATTCACGACCAGTGTATTTCTTCAACTGTGTAAAAATACTGTAAGATACTACGTGTAATTCTAAGGACGCCTCTGGTAGTCACCTTATAACTCATCTCTGATCACGAAGCAGTTGCGGTGGAAGGGTTAATTAGAAGCTAATCCCAACCCACCCTGTCAACATGACCTTGGGAGGTAGCTGGATAGTGCCCGGAAAACGGAGTTTTGGCATTTGAAAACGGAGTTCGGACTTTTGAAAAGGTAGATTTGGCATTTGAAAACTGAGTTTTGGCACTTGAAAAGGGAGTTCTGGCATTTGAAAACAGATTTTTGGCATTTGAAAACTGAGTTCTGGCTTTTGAAAAAGGAGTTCTGGCATTTGAAAACTGAGTTTTGGCATTTAAAAAGAGAGTTCTGGCATTTGAAAACAAAATTTTAGCATTTGAAAACTGAATTCTGGCTTTTGAAAAGGTAGTTCTGGCATTTGAAAACTGAGTTTTAGACTGAATATACAGCAAGTGATTCAAATGGATGCACAGTATATATTACCTTAGTTAAAAGGTTTTTTAATCTTTATTATAGCAAGAGTTGGAAAATTAGGAACACAAATACCAACCTGAATTTGAAAGAATCAAAGGGAAAATAGAAAACCATACCACCAACTGTTTCATGGCGCCAGAACCACGCTACCTTGAAGTAAAAATCTGAAATGAAATGAAACTCAGCACTTAGCATAAAAACATACATACTAAAGCCTGCTTCAAAGTTTCTGTGATCACAGTAGAAATTTTGCATGGGTAAATTCTAAGTTTTGAAGGATTTGTAAGAAATGTTTGAGGGAAACTGAGCCATTGCCAAACACTTCCCGGCCTCAAACATTTCTTACAAATCCTTCAAAACTTAGAATTTACCCATGCAAAATTCCTTAAAATATTGTACAAAACGTTGAAAAGCGATACATCTATAGAGTGAGAGAGTGTTGCAGAATATTGCTCTATCTATATTGCAAAGTCAAGAAAGGTATAATAGCTTAAAAAGCTTTTATATTATTCTGACATTACAGAGTATACATAATAATATGAAATTAGTTTTTCATATCTCTGAGGATGTTCAGGAATAGTATTATTAATAGCTGAACTAGGATATTTATGGGATAACTTCTTAATTTATGACTCGATCTAAGGGGTCTTTAGCAGTTGACTCAGTCCAACGCATTGCTCTTCTCAGAGTATGGCAAAGTTAAGGAATGGAACAGAAATATAATACAGTGCTTCGAATCTGACCAATCACGAACTTGGCTCAATTTAAGAAATCTTTACTGTTTCACTGTCATGTCTAACGCCAGACGATTTTACGATGTGGAGTGCATTGGTCTTGCATGGGAAAGATATAGTTTAAATCGAAGTATAGAAGATATTTGTGAAATGGTGGATTTTATACATGTATTTGAATGTACAATCTCCATCTACAAGTCTGTTCTATGCAATTAGTTATATGATAGTTGAAATCTTTAAATTCACAATATAGCTTGGAACAAAGCCTAGGGGTAATTTTAGTATTTACTCCATCTTATGCCAGACGATTTTACACTTGTGGTGAGTCAATGTAAATAAGGAAATAGGCAATCAATACAAGATACATATAATAGTTTATGAACCCAGCAAATTCTGAGTGACTCTGGGTATTTAACTCTGTCTAACGCCAGATTATTTTTCTTCTCAGTAGGAAAGTCGACGGTTACGAATGAATTAACTTAACACCATGAGACGAACTACATAACTTCAACTCATGTCTACCCAACCAGCGCAAAACTTCCAAAATTATAATATATTACCTCACTAGTAAAAAATCCTCTACAACATACAAATTTCTAAAACTTTAAGCGTGACATCAGAAAATTCCTTAACGATGAGTTAAGTCTTCGACTTTTACTTGATGATATAAACGAACAATGTGTTCTCATTATTTATTAATACGAAGATATCTCTGATTCGTCTGACTTAACTCAGACCTGCTCAAAACTCATGCGCTGTTTCACAGGAGATGGAATTATTTGAAAACAAGAAATTTTGTTTAAAATCCAGCAAACCAAACTGTAGTTTTTAAGTTGGGGTTTTTGGTACTTTTCTACATATATATAATTTTATATAGAATTTATGAGTGCTATAGGGAATATAATGATATTTTTCGAGGCAATTGTTAATCGTCCGGTATCGTATTGTTCAAATGCTTCGACAACTTTAAGATAATAAGCGAACCTGTCGAGATTGACAATTGTGCAATTTGAAGATAAAAAGCTCATTAGCATATCCATAAGAACAAGTTAACCCAAACACAATGTAAATGATGTAATTAACAGTCGTTATTAATGGTGCATGTTTCATTTTACCATAAGAACCTTCCAAGATGGATATAATCATGTTCATTGTATGTTATGTCTAATTTAGCGGAGTGATTAAAGATTTATTCTTTGAAAAACATTCCTGCTTTTGTTTATGTCAGGATAAAATTTAAGCTATATAACTTATAAGTAATCTCTTCTGGCCATAAAATCAGACTTTCTGATTACACTCGTTTTACAATGATTCGTAAAAGTCCTACATTCCATATTTGCAACTGTTCCATCATTGCTATTTCAGGGATAACTCTATTTCACGTTGTTCGCGTTTATAAACTTTTTCACTAAATTTATTGATCTTTTAAATTTATCGACTCCCAGCTAAAATTTGCTACATTGAAAAACAGCGGATTTGTTAACCTACTACTACAAGCAGCTACTGCTGAGTATATGTAGCGAATTGTGTCAAATGTCATGTGTGGGCATATTTTATAAGCAAAACTGACTGTAGGCTCTACAAAAGAACCAACCAAGCATGTAATTCCAGCGCAACAGTATGACATAAATCTCCTGGATCAGGCCAATGGCATTACAAAATACAAAATACAAATTTATTTTAGTGTATAATGATCAACTAAATTTTGGGCAACTCACACAAATGAGTTTAAAATTAAAGTACTACCGATATTGTAACCATAGGCGTATGAGACAGGAGGGGACTGGAAATTAGAAAGCCATGGAAATTCGGTCGGCAAACGCTACGGAAAATGAAGAATATTCTGGTAAGTGTATCACAAAATATGTTAAGCTCAGGTCATTCATTACAATATTCCATATAAATTCGGGCAAATTTTTCCTCCCGGAAAGTATCAGGAGGTATGCGCTTATGATTGTAATAAATATGAGCGAAATAGCACATCTACATAATTCTGTTGGAACAAATTAAAATTTGACAATGAAAATCGGGGCCAACATGTTATATACTAAAGTCAGAATTTCTCGTACAATTATATTCATTAATTCTTAACACATACATTTATTCTTAGGAAATAACAAATTATTATAACGCTTTGTGTTTGTTTGTTTTTAAAACTCCACAACAAACGGTTGAATCAAATATTTACAATATGACTCATTATGAGATATGCAAATTATCTGCGGCATAAAGCTGGCCACGTGTTGAAATACTTTCACAATAGAAGTTTATATAAACATTTTTTATTTAATATATATAAACATACACGGTGGCATTGCAATTTTAATATTAATACATCGTTTTATAACAGAAGTATTTCCAAGACTAAAGCTTTCACTGGTCAGCGCCTCTAGGAAGAACAGTTTAGAGCAATCCAGTGTAAATAAAGGTAGTTTAGTTTTTCTCCTGTAGTAACACTGGATCAATAAGAGATGGACCTTACTGGATCTCAAGGGAGAACAGTTTAGAACTGATAGTTTTCGTTTGTACATAATGTATCTGCATCCAACCAGATCTCTTTGCGAGAGAAATCCAATCACAGTCCAACTCTCTCCCTCGCGAAAGTCGACACAAGATATTTTCGAAAATGTTTCAAAGTGACACCATTTTGCAAAAAACTTTCTTCTCGTACTTCGCATATAGCTTGTCGCCTCGTTCTAGTGCATTTCCATGGAAACGATGGCGTTGGACTACAACTATCTACAGAAACTGCCCGGATGTTTACGTCACTACGTCTCGAGTCTGTAGCCAATAAGCTTGTTCCGTTTTCCCGCGGCAAGCCTGGAGGGATTGTGCGATTGTCTGTCCTTGGTGTATCGCTAGGGATCGATCTTATACCCATTGTAGAAAATAGTCGATGGAATTATGAAATGGAGTCGAATTTCTTGCTGCAAAATTAGTTTCTGAATTGTATGCTTAAAATCATATATTCAAACAGCGGTGCCTTGGAGCAGTTCTTATCATACACGGCACAATTACAATTGTTCGTGTTCTGCAGTTTCCAAATGGAGTCGATTTTCTTCTTGAAAAATTAGTTGCTGACTTGTATTCTTAAAACCGTATAAACAGCATAGCAGATCTTTTAAACAAACTACACTTTCGACACGTCTTCTGCAACTAATTTCTTTTCATGTCCCAAATTTCCACCATTCAAGAATGTCTCTTGAGAAAAGCTCTGAACTTCTCAGTTGAAAAAATCGATAAAAATTGTGCTTCACAATCAGCGTTTTATTCCAATGCTGAAACACAGTTTGTCGCTGAGCTATTTCCTTATATATTCAGACGTGTCTTCAAAACGAAGAAGCACCTGCTTCTGCTCATTAACATTACAAAGCTAAACGAAATTTTATCTCGTGCATAGAAATTATGCATATATAAGAACCTCAAACGACCCGTGACTTGATGTGTTGCCGAGCGTTGCAGCTGATTATAAGCCAGATGATTTTACTTATCAAACATCGTCTTCATTAATATAGTGAAGCTCGGATGAAACAAGGATGAAAGTGCGTGAGCGTTGACAGTCACGCGAGCTTGGTTAGCTGTTCTTAATGCTTTCCCAACACTATCATGTATTCTATTTAAGTTAAAACATAGTTGGAACACTCTTCAAACCTTTATTTTGTTAATCTAGAGCTAGAATTAAATTTCCCCCGTAAAATGCCTGGTTTACATTATTATTACAGTAGGAATTTTGCAAAGGTAAATTTTAAGTTTTGAAGGAATTTGTAAGGAATGTTTGATGGAACTGATTCAGTGTTTAATTAACATTAAGTCAGTTTCCTGAAACATTTCTTACAAATCCTTCAAAACTTAGAATTTACCAATGCAAAATTCCTACTGTGATCACAGAAACTTTGATAGTGTCAACCAGCCATCTTTCATTAACTATCATTCTGGTTTGGTCGGATCAAAGTTAACACATAAAGTTAAATCTTTTTTATTATTTAATTTTCTTGCATCTAAAAGTGTCAACAATCAACATGGACTGAAGTGGACTACGCTCAGTTGACAACCGAATTGAAATTCAATACATGCAAATACATCTTTAGCAAGCGGAAGTCCCAGTATAAACGCACAAATATACAGTTTCCTAATAACATGGTCGCTTATAAACATAGAATTGATAGAAATATAACCTAACTTTGACGATAGTTCTGCCGGATGGAATGAACAGATACATACTGCACCAATACTAACAGTAAATGTACGTATTTATTATTAGTACTTACATTTTATCCATAGATGCAAGAAATTGTAGTCAGGATTTGAATGCAGCATTATGAGACGAATTATATCAAGCTGTCTTGGACGTAGCTTCAGAGATCTTACAAGAAGAAACCAATGTCGATGGTATTCACAAAAGGTAAGCATTAGTACCATTGGCATTGCACAAGCTAGAGAATTTAAAATATTCACATTTAGTTTGATACATTCACTTATAGCTAATTATTCTACGTAGCATTATAAATTGCTATTGTCTGTTGGATGTGAACTACATACGTTTAAAGTCCTATTTGATACATTGTAGACCTCACTGACTTAGATTAAAGTAAAGACTTCTACCCATAAACAAGCGGTCAAACGAGAGCTTAGTTAGTGTTGGGAATGCATTAACAACAGCTATCATGTATTCTATTTAAGTTATACCGTAATTAATTTCAAACACTCAGAAAGAATGAGACTGCCAAGTTTCATGCAGGTTTCACCAGGGCTTATAACTGTTCAGCAAAACGTAAATTTTAAAGTCATGCAGATTTAAGACATTTCAAATAAATTTCAATTGAACATATTAATACATTTTATCTGTCTTCAAACGCATTCATGCAAGGTATCTAAATACTAAAATAGAAACAAATATATTCAAATATGGCGTATCCAGAGGTTGTGTCCGTCACGACCGCACGGGAGACTGAAACCTACTTCCTACCAATATATGGAAGAGTGCTTTCAGTTTGCAGATTTAGGCTACGTTTAAACTGAATCGGATAGGTTTCCGTAGCGACGTGAAAACCACGTATCCGTACCTTTTAGGAACGCTATTTTCAGAGGAATTATTGCAACGGAAAGATGTTGTTTTGCTCAGCTTCTGAAAGTTGTACATTCCGTATTGGATAGGTGCTTTTTCGCGCCGCTACGGAAAGCTATGCCTCAGTGAAGTTTTCCCAGAGTACTGCCAATAGGGTAATGCCAGTTAGGGATGGTTTTTACTGCACCTCTAGGAAGTATAGGAAGAACAGTTTGGAACTGATAGAGCTATCCAGTTTTGAGTTAGTTTAGGTTTCCCCCTGAATTAACACTGGGTCAATACTGGACCTCTAGGAAGAACTTAGAACTGATAGAGCTATCCAGTATATATAAAGTTAGTTCAAAACCTTCACTAAATGTTGGCAGGTTGAAGGAATCATTGATGAACTTACTTCAGTTGTTGGTCCTAAGAATATCTCCTCCGCTCAAGCAGTCAGAGACCAGCATGGCAAGGACGAATCATATCACAGTATTCGGTCACCTGACCTGGTAGTATGGCCAGGTAATACAGAGCAAGTCAGTAATGTGGCAAAGTTATGTAACCAACACAAGATCGTGATGATACCATTTGGGACTGGAACGGGTGTAGAAGGTGGCGTGGCAGCCCTGGAGGTAAAGATCACCTCGATATGAACACTTCTTTTCTCTGAATCTTCTAGTTACAATATCTTTCTATGAGTCAATTTTCCATCGTTCATTCTTAGTCAAATATCTAAACCATCTCATTTTTTCTTCTACGTACAATGCTTTCTACTCTTCTTCTAACCTCATTGTTTATAAGACGTTCTCAGAGTGACAATCCTTGCATCCTTTGTAATATTCTCATCTAATTCGTCCTCACTAAATAATACAGTATTAGTTACAGTAGTATTAGTTTCTTCCTGTATTAAACTGATCACTGAACCTCTAGGAAGAACAGTTTAGAACTGACAAAGTTAAGTAAAGTTAGTTCCTCCTGTAGTAACACTGAATCAATAAGGGATGATCTTTACTGGACCTGTAGGAAGAACATTTTAGGACTGATAGAGCTATCCAGTATAAATAAAGTTAGTTTAGTTCAGGTTTCCTCCTGGAGTAACACTGGATTAATAAGAGATTATCCTCACTGGACCTTTAGGGAGAACAGTTTAGAACTGATAGAGCTATCCAGTATAAATAAAGTCAGTTGACTTCCTAGTTACTTGGTATATTTCCCAGGGTGGTGTATGTATTGATCTATCAAGAATGGACGAGGTTGTGAGTGTGAACCACGCAGATATGGATGTGACGGTTGAACCTGGTGTAACACGAACCTATCTCAATACATATCTTAGAGATTCTGGTCTGTGGTTTCCCATTGGTGAGTTATCAACAAAGTTTCGTTTGTCACCAAGTCATTAGTTCCACTCTAGTGCTCAGTAAACAAAGAAATACGCTTCGGTACGATACAGTTGGAATGGAAACGGCCTTATTAAAATTGGGGAAATCTGACTGAAGTCATAGTGATACGAACATTTATTAAAAGGGTCTAAAGAACTGAACTGACTCCTGAAAATTGACTGACAATCTTGAGTGGTAGCTAACAAACGATGAGACAGTAATTTGCAACTGACATCTCACTAGTTACCTTAGAGTGGAAATTCACCGCCTACACTGCCCAGTAGTTTTGGCATATTACAAAATATCTTTGAGTTCCCAATTAGGACCCCCTTTCCTGTATAAATTTCAATAGAAATAGTAAACTTACATCCCTAGACCCAGGACCTGATCCATCATTATGCGGAATGGCCGCAACAAGCGCCTCTGGGACTAATGCTGTTAGGTAATGTATAAATTATCATCTTTCCGTTAAGTTTACATCACAGTTCTTTTCAGAAGATCATACTACAGGAAGAAACCGAAATACCAGGAGAAAACCTGCTGTGTTTTGTAGAGTCAAAC